TTCTCCTCATCAATCAAACATTCGCCATACCGGCTGGAGAACTGCGGAAAACAAGTAGAGAACGCCCAGTACTTGTGGACCTGTAGCTGCCTCCTGATATCAGAGAATCCTCGTCCTCCCCACTCGCCATTCTCAAGCAGCTGTAGTAAGGGAACAGAGTGGTCCATGGCATGCGGTACCGACATCATGTCAGAACGATGAAGGACGAACCAAGCCATCAAATAAACATACGGAAGCTCCACCTTAGTAGTAGGAATCTGAGTCGGCGATTCACTATCCTTCCGTGTAAAAGCACCAGAAATCTGTCGAAGCCCTCGATGAATGTTAGCCACCATCACCGGAAGAAGTGAAAGTTCCTTTCTGTAGGCAAGTTGAACCGCAGGGTAGAGCACTTCCAGTGGCAGAGCGTCACCGGACTGATACGGGACTACGCATTTCTTTAACCAGATGGCGAGGTAGCCGGCAAGAAGAGTCATCGGACGAATCGGTGCGGTCGCATGGCATAAGAATGATTTGAATTTAGTCCCTGCAGGAAAGCCACTCTCAGGACTGCTAATGGTATAGGAGTGGGCGTCAGTCTTCTTCAGCAGCTCATTAACCTCTGAAGGAGTCAGCGGTGCCAGTTCACAAATAGCTTTGCCAGAATGGCTCTCTAGATTCCTGAACAAATATGATGCGAACTGCTTCAGGCTCACATTTGATTTGGTCCTCTTCGCTAGGGGCTTAGACTGCGCCAAAGCAATGTGATAGTGACAAGTGAGGTCCCATAAGGTCTCGTAGGGGTCGGGCATGCGATCCTTCAGCTGGCTCAGTTCATGGTTGGAAGGAAAATACTCCTGGTATAACATCTGACCCATGGGCAAACCAGAAATCTTATGCATCTCATGAAGAGCCAAACCCAACTCTCCGTGCCTAGTCAGAAAGGTGTTCGAGTCCGGATTATAAAGCTCGCATAAGGCAAAGAAATGCTTCGCACTAACGGGTAAACCATACATAGTGGCACGAATGGCTGGATAAAGACCGCAAGCATGCAACTCCTCGCTCCATCGACTCAAGACGTACTTCGTCATACGAGCCCACCAAAACTTGTCCAAAGAATGGACCCAACCATAGAATCTGTGGCGCGGTGCAGGCATCTCCCGTCCTAAATTAGCGAGGCAATTCCTCAAAGTAGAAGCAGAGGCAAGGAATTCGTTACGGGGCGGTGCATCTAGTCCCAGCACTCCAGGACGCAGTCCAACAATATGATTCCTGCTCGAACCAGGAACTGCCTGATGAGTAATGTAGCCGCAGTGAACGCTCTCATGCTCCTCTGTCAAGCGCCACGACATCTCCCGTTTCACGGCCTGACGCCTGAACTCAGTC